ATTATTGTGAGCCGTTCGTCGAGTGCGACTCGTTTTGCCCGTTGGCCATTGCGTGTGTTAAACGGTTGATTAGAGGTGCACATACGCTGTCGTCGACCCCGCCACCTTCCGTCGTTGCAGTCGCCGTCTTCGGCACCGCCACTCTCCGCCGGTGCATAGGCCGTCGTCGACACCGTCACCCTCCGTCGCCATCACGGTCACTCGCTGCCACCGCGGACGTCGGATCCGTCTATAAATACGACGGATATAGGTCACTAGCCGCTCCGTCAGCTGTCCAGTAACGAGTTTCAGTACAACACCTGGACGCCGTGATAAGTCGATCCTATTATTCCGTTTGTACTATATTATATATTTGTGTATTTATTATTTATTTATTATTAGCAGGAGACGTCCTCACCAATATATTAATCTGTATTGTTATTATTATTATCATTATTATTATTGTAACGAACAATACAGAGTTGTTTAATTACAATTCACCTACTATATTATTACTCCCTTTATTTACTAATATTGTAAGTGGTAACAACCATTGTACGGTGCGAGTTGTCGGGTCAACTGTCCATAAGAGCTCGACAGCGTAAACATTTTGGTAGCAGAGCGTGGTTCTGGACATTATTTCAGACGTTATCTAGCGCCGTAGGTTGTTTGTTTTTCCTCAGGTCGGGTGTGACCGTGGTAAGGGTAAGATACCTGTGTTTGTTTAATTAGCATTATATTTGGGTATTTGGTATACTGTTATTGTTTGTATAACCGGCTCGCTCTTAAACTTGTAATAGTAGATATTATTTAGTAATTGATGGTGTACCTCGTGATATATTTTTTCCGTTGATCACATTATGTCGCTTCCCATTAACGACAACGCCCGAGACATGCGCGCAAAGGAGAGGGCATCAATAAGACGTGATACAATCGTGGCTGAAATTAGGTATATTCATCAATTAGCACAGCAAGCGTCGGAGGACGGTAATATATATTCCCAATTAGTAGTCGCCTCTAATGATTTGGACTCGTTGTGGGTGGACTTTGTTGCCGAAGATGATGCTTTTTTAAACTCATTATTAGACTTGGGTTTAAGTATTCAATATTCTGGTGCACTCAAGGTGGAGGTCCGTGGACTCATCTCTTATTCTAAGTCTATCTTGCGGAATTATGAAACCCAAGCACCTTCCGTTGGGGCAGAGTCTGTACTGAATCAGAGTATCAGATCCGATTCAGCTTCCAAGAGGGGTGATAATGCAGAACAATTGCAATCTCACCTAGTAGGCAATACGTCACGCATAGGTCTGACAGATTGTGGGAACTTACAAACACTAGAAGCTACTCACGTACGTTTACCGGAGATCCCCCTACCTACATTCGACGGAAATATTTATAAGTGGCCGGACTTCCGTGATCATTTCATTGATATGGTGCATAAGAAAGATCGCATTACTGACAGTGCAAAATTATACTATTTACGCGGTTGTTTGAAAGGGGCCGCGGCTGATGCGGTACGTGGGATTCCCGTTTCAGCTAGCTCGTATAAGCTTACATGGGCTACCTTGGAGTCACGGTACGATAAGCCTCGCATGTTGGCTAGCGCTGTAGTTGAAAAGATTCTAGCTGCGCCTACGTCATCTGAAGAGACGCTGGCAAGTCTCACGAAATTCATTAACATTTTTGACGAGGGAGTATCGGTTCTAAGGTCACTAAATATCCCTGACATGGGAGATTTTATATTGTTTTCGATCGCTTCCCGTTGTTTACCACTGTCTTGCCGAACTCTTTTTGAAACCAATTGTCAAGAAGATTATCCCTCGGTTGCAGCCTTGTTCGCATTCCTAAAGGCTCGTGTATCGGTATTGGAACGCGTTGGAGACTCGGTACCTCTCGAACCAGCCATTAAGCACGTGCAAAAGAACGCTTCGCACAAATCTCAAAAATCCGGCGGCATATCATCCTTTGTGACCTCTGGGTCTCCGCCATCCGTATGTAAATGCTGTAGTGGTGCGCATGCTGTATCTGCGTGTTCAAAGTTTAAGGGTTGGCCTCTCCAGCAACGGGTCCAATGGGTCCGTGATCAGCGTGTCTGTTTCTTGTGTTTGAGTGATAAGCACTGGTCGAACCGTTGCTCGTCAAAGGTAAAATGTTCGAAATGTGCCCGTAAGCACCACGTTTTAATTCACGAAGATCAGCCACTACCCCAAGGGAAGGATCCTGTGGGCTCGAAGAACGAATCTGGCTCGACTGCGGCCACCTCAATGTGCGGTCTCTCCGAATCGCGTTCGATATTGCTCGGTACAGCCTTGGTACATATCCGCGATTCCTCTGGTATCTTACATACAGTTCGCGCGTTGATTGATTCTGCATCGCAGATTAGCGCTATTACTACGGGCTGTGTAGCACGTCTTGGTCTCCGAAAAACCCCTTGGACGGCCCCTGTAACTGGATTATCTGGTGCGCCTGTTGCAAGCACTGAAGGGATCGTCAATTGTCAAGTCCAACCCCGGTTCGCGGACGAACCGATCATTTCGGTGAAGGCTTGGGTGTTCCCGACTATCACGTCCGACATGCCTCGTCAACCCCTACCGGAAATCGTGGCCCAGAAATTCACCCATTTAGCTTTAGCCGATCCATCGTTCGCTACACCATCACCAATAGATTTACTGTTGGGTGCTGATATTTTTTCTTCTGCGTTGAACGGCAAGCGTGTTGAGGTGGGAAATGTTTATCCAGTGGCGTTTGGCTCGATCTTTGGGTGGATCTTGATTGGGCCAGTTCCCTCAAATGCCATGTCAGCCTTTCATGCCATTCCTGTCTCGTTGACAACTTCGATAGAATCCCTGATGGATCGTTTCTGGCATGTGGAAGAGCCGGATGCGGCTCCGGAAACCTTTACTGATGACGGTAAATGTGAGGCCATCTTTCGAAACGAGTGCTGTCGTGATTCCGAAGGCCGTTTCACGGTTCCATTACCATTCCGTGAAGAGGTGACCTCCGACGCATTTCATGGGTCTCGTGCTATAGCTCTCAAGCGTTTTGAAAATTTAGAGCGCAAGCTCCATGCCGACCCGCGTCTTCGCGACATGTATGTACAATTTATGTCCGAGTACATCAACTTAGGCCATATGACTGTCGCAGCTGCTCCCGGACGTTATTTTATCCCACATCATGCCGTATACCGTGCTTCGGATCCTAATTCGAAAATCCGCGTCGTCTTTGACGCTTCGGCAGCGTCGTTCACTGGCGCTTCCCTGAACAAGTGTCTGCTCACGGGTCCTAAGTTGCAGCAAGATGTTGTGGATATCTTACTACTGTTCCGTTTGTCCCGTTATGCGTTTACAACTGACGTGTGCAAGATGTACCGACAGATCCTGATCAATCCCGAGTACAGACCATTCCAGCACGTCTTCTGGCGTGACTCGCCGTTCGCCGAGCTCAAAGAGTACGAGCTGAACACTGTCACGTATGGCGTCAATTGTGCCCATTACCTCGTCATGCGTGTCATCAAATCCGTTGCTGAGCAGGACTGTAAGGATTTTCCGGCTGCGCAGGATGCACTGCTCAAACAAACTTATGTTGACGATATATGCACTGGTGCTGACTCGGAGGAAGAAGCGTTAACATTACAAGCAACCATCATTTCCATAATGGCTGGTGCTGGGTTTGAATTAAAAAAATGGTCGAGCAATAACAGATCAGTTTTGGATTGTGTTGCCCCTGAAGATCGTGCCAATGGATCAACATCATTCGATGGCAACGACGTGTCCGGAGTTAAGGTCTTAGGGCTTCAGTGGGACCACCGCGAAGACAGATTCAACTACGCATTTCAACTCGAATCCGTCATTCAAACAAAACGCGGGATGCTTTCTTTAATCGCTCAGATTTTCGACCCACTTGGATTCCTGGCTCCGACGATTTTTGCTGCGAAACATCTAATGCAAAAAGTATGGTTGTCCCACGTGTCATGGGATGAACCCTTGCCTGATGAGTTAGCTGAGTTATGGCAGAATTTTGTGGCAGATTTGCACACCCTGTCAAAACTAACGGTGCCTCGCTTCATAGGTACGCGTAAACAGAGTCGGTGCATCCTCTGCGGATTTTGTGATGCTTCGGAAAGGGGATATGCGGCTGTGGTATATCTTCGACTTGAGGACGCCAATGAGCAGGTATCTGTGGTACTGTTAGGTTCCAAGACGAAGTTGGCTCCCATAAAAACTGCGACTATTCCTCGACTGGAGTTATGTGCCGCTGTGTTATTGTCAAAATGGCTACATCGTATTCAGCTCACGCTCAGTGCTCGTCTTGATATCACGAACACATTTGCTTGGTCAGATTCGTCCATCGTTTTGAGCTGGCTGACAGCCCCCCATCAGTCCTTTAAAATTTTTGTATCTAACAGAGTGCATAAAATTCAGTCATTGTTGCCCAAGTGTCAGTGGCACCATATTGGATCATCAGATAACCCGGCAGATTGCGCATCTTGTGGACTTGCTCCATCTGAACTTCTTGACCATCAACTATATTGGGATGGACCACGATGCCTGTACTCTCCAACAGAAACCTGGTCGGCTGACTTTCATGCAGTTCCCATGGACCAATTACCTGAACTAAGGGTTACCCCAATAGTCCTCACCACGGCTGAACGAGATAGTGAGTGGTTCAGTAGATTTTCATCTTATACCCACATGATACGTGTCGTGACTCGTCTACGTAGGTTTATATTTTGTTGTCGCAATGGACGACCATCAACCCAAGAGTCTTGGCTTTCTCGGAGTGAACTAGATGCCGCTTTACTGACAATTATACGCTCAGCTCAACAATTTTCATTTTTAACTCTTCATCAGGAGCTGTCAGCGAACTTGGATGTGTCCTCACGCGCATACGCGCGTCTTAGACCATTTATCGATGCAAACGGAATAATCTGCGTAGGAGGTCGCCTACGTCACTCAGATTTGCCGGAAGGACAGAAATTCCCGATGCTGTTGCCGAAGTCATCGCACCTGTCCATGCTGATAGTTCGTCATTGGCATCTGACTACATTTCACAGTGGCCACCGCGTGTTAACTAGCATCATCGGACGAGAATTTTGGATATTGTCATTGCGTTCTCTTATTCGGTCGGTTGTAAGTAAATGTACACGATGTGTCCGCATGGCAGCGGTTCATCCTCAGCCAGTAATGGCTGATCTCCCTCGATCACGAGTGTCCGAGTGTCGTCCGTTCTCCCGGGTCGGTATTGACTTTGCAGGCCCCCTTAAGATGACTGAAAACCGCTTACGCAAGTCTCGGGAATACAAGGTGTATATAGCCGTCTTCGTGTGTTTCGTCGTCAAGGCTGTTCATCTGGAAGTTGTTTCAGACCTATCAACCAAGGCGTTCTTAGCGGCCCTAGATCGGTTCGTCGCACGGCGCGGCGTTCCCACCGATATATACTCAGACTGCGGAACCAATTTCGTCGGCGCCGCTCGCCAACTCAAGGATTTGATCAATGATGTCAGTAATCGTGATCAGATCTCCGCCTCTGTTCGAACTACATGGCACTTTAATCCACCTAGTGCCCCACACTTCGGGGGATTATGGGAGGCTGCCGTACGATCAACAAAATCTTTGATGGTGAAAGTGATGGGGGAGCACACTTTCACTCTAGAAGAGTTTACCACGATAATCTGCCGGATTGAAGCTATTTTAAATTCCCGGCCGCAGACACCGGCTTCTACCGACCCTTCAGACTTAGATTGTTTGACTCCTGGTCATTTTTTGATTGGGCAACCCCTGTTGACAATTCCCACGAGTGAAGATAACGGGTCCATATGCCGTCTAACTATAGCTAATCGCTGGAAACTACTACATCAATGTGTTCAGTCCTTTTGGAAACGGTTGCGAGACGAATACCTGCAGACGCTGCAATGCCGCCATCGATGGTCTTCGGATGCACCTTCTTTAGCATTAGGCGACATGGTGGTCATTAAAGATGCCAATTCTCCACCCTTGACGTGGCGCCTTGGGCGTGTCATCGAACTCATGCCAGGTTCGGATGGTGTAGTTCGAGTGGTCCGCGTCAGCACACAACAAGGATCCATGGTTCGCCCTGTCGTAAAGTTAGTTTTGTTACCAATCACGTAGTGACCGTTGTTGTGGTTGCACTTGACTTGAGGGGACCAAATAGATCATTAAAACCGTTCCGCTCAGAGCTCTTGTTGGGGGGCCAGACTCCTCGTATCAAACTTATAAAAAAAATGTACTCCTTGAGGGTATGTGACCACATTTCATGTTGTTGTATTGTTAATTTTACTGTATTACATATTTTTTTTCTTGTCATTTTGAATTATGTAAAATAATAGGTACTTATCATCAGCGGTGTCGCGACGCGTCGGAAGATAATGTGAAGCTAAGCTTCCCATGGGGGAGCATGTTCAAGCCGCCGCCTTTTTTCCTGGAAACCGGTCCACGTGAGCGTGTGGCGGACGAAGAATGTTCGAGAACTTCGCCCGTATCGGTCGTTGTCGCGCACTGCTCGTTATCACCAGCCGGCTTTTCGCTGGTCATATACCTGTGTACGCGACAACGAGTCAGTCTGCCGTAAGCTGTTGTGGTGTGCGTAGTTTTTGTGTCGCGCGTCATACGACGTCTCTACAACCCACAACAGCAGTACGAAACCACTCGTTTTTGTTTTGCACGACGCGTTCGGTCGAGCTGTCGTTGCACCCGTTCGCCGTCGCCGCACGTAGCGTATTATTTTTGTGGTTTGGCAGTATTATTGTGAGCCGTTCGTCGAGTGCGACTCGTTTTGCCCGTTGGCCATTGCGTGTGTTAAACGGTTGATTAGAGGTGCACATACGCTGTCGTCGACCCCGCCACCTTCCGTCGTTGCAGTCGCCGTCTTCGGCACCGCCACTCTCCGCCGGTGCATAGGCCGTCGTCGACACCGTCACCCTCCGTCGCCATCACGGTCACTCGCTGCCACCGCGGACGTCGGATCCGTCTATAAATACGACGGATATAGGTCACTAGCCGCTCCGTCAGCTGTCCAGTAACGAGTTTCAGTACAACACCTGGACGCCGTGATAAGACGATCCTATTATTCCGATTGTACTATATTATATATTAGTGTATTTATTATTTATTTATTATTAGCAGGAGACGTCCTCACCAATATATTAATCTGTATTGTTATTATTATTATCATTATTATTATTGTAACGAACAATACAGAGTTGTTTAATTACAATTCACCTACTATATTATTACTCCCTTTATTTACTAAAATTGTAAGTGGTAACAACCATTGTACGGTGCGAGTTGTCGGGTCAACTGTCCATAAGAGCTCGACAGCGTAAACAACAATAATTTCAAACATGTTAGTGTTATACGTATTACAACCCATAGTTTTCTAAGCTTTTAGGTACCTTACTCCAATAATTAGGATATATTGAGAATATTAATTAGTAATTACCTTCATCACTGCTACCATCTGATACATCAAATATTGGACGCTTACGTTTGGTCATCAATTGAACTTCTTCATTTTCCGATTCCTTTTCAACTCTTGTATGCCAAGCTTTTTTAAAATTATCTAAGTTGTTGGTAAATTTTAAATTAGAAAAAAATACAAAGAAACAAAATAATTATTAATTTTATTTAATTTTTAAAATAAGTTTTTACATTTTTATAAATATAACATAAAGGTTATTTAGTATGAATATTTATACCATAACCAACAATCATACTACATTATGACTACATAATTAAAATAATAATAAATATAAACTTTATAAACTATTAAATAGATTTTATTTTACATACCATATGTTTTATTGCCACCAACTATTTTAACACCATACTCAAACCAAGTTGGTTCTGGATCTAGGGCGTCATGAATGTCAGTACTAGTTACTCGACCAAGTGGCCATTTACAAAACTGTACACTACTATTTTCTAGATTGTCTGTGTCATTTTGAACTAACCACTTTGTCGGTACTACGCTGTAATCCTTCGAATCCACAAATACCACAATGACCCAACTAACTTTAATCTAAAATGGAAAAACATAATACATTTATTTTTTAGTTGAATATCGGCTACCTAAGTTATTATATACTAGAAATCTGAAATAGGTATAATTGCAATAATGACTAAACTTTATAAAAAATTAAAAGCACCTATTAGGTAGGTAATATCTACTGTTATAGGCAAAAATATAAAATGTACCTACATAATAATGTGTATTTTTAATATTTGTAGAGACTTAATTTTTCAATTAATAGGTACAACTAAATAAACAAGAATACATTTTTGTAGGACTTTTTATATAATTTATGGATAATATATAATATTTCTATAGGATATACGAGATTAGATTAGGTTACCTAACCTCGTACCTACACCAGAAGTAACTAGGTGTCAAATATTATAAAAAAGCAAAGTTTCTTATAGCTAAATATTTATTTTTCCAATCTTAAAGAAATGGGTAGGTACTTTCTTTATAACATTATTTTAATAATATTGAGTTTAGATGGATGATTATTGATTGTTACCTAGCTTGATTTTTCTGATTTACTGAAATGATATAGATTATTGCTAAAATTATGGAAGATGAATCAGATAGAAACAATCACATGTATTTTCTCATTTCTGGTAATAAATTGTATTATTTATAACTAAAATAAGCAATACCTACGATAAATGAGAAATTTAATAAAGGATAAATATATTAAGCTACTTGGCAATTATAAGTAATACATAATATATAAAAATGTAATATTATAAAAATATATCATGTGTATTAAAACAGAAAGAATTTTTTTTAATGGAATGTTTTTGGAAGGTAACTGAACATAATATACCTAATTGTTAGGAAAAATAGGGGAGGAAATCATTAACTAAATAACCACAATCATTGTTGTTGTTTATGAAATCATATTATATATTTTTTGATCACTCCAAATAAAAGCTTAAAACACAATCAATGGTCAATGCATATTCATGTTGTTACATATCGAGTATCGATATGTTGCCATGTAGATACATAATATTATAGAGATAAAAATATCGGATGACAGAGCATGGCCAGAAAGTGCACATTTTAACTTTAATAATAGTTTACTAATGGCCTTTGCTGCCGTTGTTTTTTTGTGATCAATAAAAAAAAAAATAGTTAGGTATAATATAATACTAAGTAGGTATTGATGTATACAATAATGAATCTTACCTTTCTAGTTGTTATGATAAACTTTAAGTCTTAACTCTTAATACGATCTAAAAAATGACACGATGTTGACCAGATGGAACGTGATGTATCTACTGCCGTATTTTCGTACTATGCAAGTAAAGAATGAGAATATTGAGAATCACGCGAAATTCGAATATTATTCTTCCACAATCACTATAGACACAATTACTGTAATACTGTTATATCTGCTGCAATAGCAGAGACGTGCAGTTAAATAATAAACGGACGACTGACGAAGTGACGAGTGAGTGACGACGGTTATCGGTGTTTCTGGATATTGACGATAATTAATGATAATAAAACTATTTTCAGCCGCTATTTATAAATTTAAAATAAAACCCATACCTACGGCAGAGTATAAATAATAATTTAGTTTATTTTTGGATTGCTATCAACATCAAAAGAACATAATATTGATATAATATATTATATTATAAATGGGTGGCATTTTTATTATTATCAAATATTCCTCTAACGTTTTATAACTATGTTTAATTGATGTATCTATAATTAGAGATACATACATTTCTCAAATGTTTATTTCGTGTTATAAACATTTATGTTTGTTTATAACCAGGGTTCGGATTTTATAGCACCAAAAATCCTAAAATATGCGCTATAATATGACCAAAAAAACCTTAAAATATGCTCTATAAATATGCCCTAAAAACATCAAAAATAGCAACAAATAAAAATATATACAAATCAAAATTGTATTCAATTTATCATATAGGTAACTTTATTAAATCATTTATTTATAAAAAAACTAAAATCATCGTTTACAGTTTAAAAAAATTTGTGTGTACTGATTAACTTGATACCTTGAATTATGACATCGTTTGTACGCAACTATTCAAAATTGTCTGAGTAAATAAGAATAAAATTCAAGTAATTATTATTTATTAATTAAATAATATTTTATTTATTTTACCTGAGTTACACTGTATGATTAAGTGCTTTGCCAAATTTTCGAATTTGAAGTTCCGGCGGTTATCAGTCAACAATGACTTGTAGGTCGAAAAGGAACGTTCAACATCAACCGATGTAATAGGTGAATACTTAAAAAATACTATATCGTCACTAGTCAATTCTTCAAGATCCCCGTCTAATTCGCTATTTTCCTCTTCACCCGACAATATTTTAGAAATGCGTTTTAATGATGTCAAGCCATTATTATTTTCAAATACAGTTTTAAATTTATTTTTTACAATTGTACCTGCTTCACCCCGTAATGATTTGAACGATTCTTCGATATCCTCAATTATTTTTAACGCTGTTATTAAAGAAAGGCCTTTTGTTTGTAGTTTATTTATTCCTTCTACGAGAATTGTGAAGTTTAATTTTATACACGCTAGGTTGCTCTCTATACCGGGTTTAACTATGTATTTTTTAGTTTTTTTTATACTCACTGCATCATCTTCATCGAGCTTTTCAATAACACCGCGAACAGTGCTCAAATTTTCACAGTAATAAATGGCAGCGTTAATCCATGATCCCCATCTTGTAATTATGGGATCTGGTGGTAAACATATACCTGGAGCCTCTATTTTAAATATTTCGACTCTAGTAGGTGCTTTCTTAAATACTTTTTTACAATTTGCGATTACTTTGTCAACAGTGCTAAAGTGGTCACGAACCTGTTCGGCAATTCTATGTAAGCCATGTGCTGCACATGTGACATGCAACATTTTTGAGTAGAACACTTTTAATGATTTTCCAGCTTTTTTCATATATGGTGCCGCGTCTGATAAAAATAATAGCACATTGTCGTGGTGTATTCCATTTGGCCATAATTTGCTCATAGATTTGTCAAAAACTTTACTTATGGTAGAAAAATTGGTTTTTTCTAATTGTTCCGAGTGGAGTAAAAAAATGGATCCAGAATGTTCAATCTCCAGAGTACCGATGATAACATTAGCAATAAAGCGTCCTTCAACGTCCGTTGTTTCATCGATACTCACCCAGATGCGATTATTAGCTACTTGAGATCTAATTTTTTCGATTGTTTCATTGTAAATATCATCAACGTACAATTTTCTCAGTGTTGATTCGTCTGGAATATGATTTTTAGTATACTTTTCTAAAAATTGTCGAAACTTCACATTGGATAACTTGTTTAATGGTATATTTGCAGAAATAAGAGTCTTGCATAGATCGATATTAAAAGTACACTTTTGTGGAATATTTGTAAGTAACTGCTGTTTCTTTTCAATTTTATTTTGCTCCCGTTTAATGGCTTTTAAATGCTTATCCGTTTTTAAATGTTGAGTGACGTTAAACTTTTTGTCACTATTAACCTTACATTCGCACAATTTGCAAAACAGAATACTTGCGTCAATCGAAAAAACCTCATCGCCAAACTCGGACACAAAATGTCTTAGTCTCGAATAGTTCGATGTTTTATCTTTCGGCATTATACGTTTAATATCGAAACAGAAAAACAAATGATACACAATCGAGTAATGAACGAATATGAAACGAAATCAAACGATACGGAGAACCGACTGACGCTGAGATACATACGACAGTCGACGGTATATTATAGAATCTACAATTATGTGGAACAATAACAGATAAGAAGATAAGATTCGACATCGTCGGACTATTTAAAAATAGATTTATTACATAATATGAAACGAAAATGTGGGAATTTTTCTTATTGACTCGCATTAATGAATACTATTTGTCATTCAATATAAACGAGATTTATGAAAAATATAAAATAAAGCGTTGAATTAAGAATATTAGCAAAAAATAGCACCAAAACTTTAAAAATAGCACTAAAATTCTAAAATTCTTCAAATATGCAAAAAATAGCAAAATAAAATTTCATATTTTGAGTCCCTGGTATATAAAACAAATTTATAGCCCACTCTGCTATTTTTATCTCCATCCTATAATAAGTAGCAAATGCTATAAAATCCGAACCCTGTTTATAACAAATATATTATGTAAAGTTAACATAATACAATAACATTATAATTAAGACTTAAAATAAACATTTTTAGAATGTTTAAAAACTTCAATTGCACAGTGGGTAGTAACATGTAATAAACATTTTATAAGCTCCTGCTTCAAATTCACCAACATTTACGAGTAAATATTAGCATAAAGCACAAAAATTAACAAAATAAATATTATAAAAACACATACATTATACAAAATTGTTTTCACTGTTATAATATATAATTAATATACCCATCTACTAGGTATCTAGGTTCTACTATAAAATCATAAAATACTATGATTATCAACAAAACATTTTATTTTACTAATTTATCAGTTATTTTGAAACTTTCATCACAATTTGAATTTACATGAAATACAACCATTAGCATAAACACACACATTAACAATGACATCACATAAATGTGAACAAGAAAAACAATTTGAAATACTTACCTGATTTAGATGAACACATTTGATTCCATCAAGCAGTTCCATCAAAATTTGAATGGAATGGATACTTGACCGGACAACAGGAAAACGCAGCTGAATCTACTGAATTGGAAGTTACAGAACATTGTTCATCAATCGATTGGTCACAGATCTGTTGTACATATACATAACAAAATTATAAAAAATCAAAACAATGATGCAAAATTTAATCAAGCCGAATCAGCAAAATTGCTACCACTACATAAGGTGACGTCTGCGACGGGAGCGGGGCTGTTCAGTTTTTGGTTCACTCATTGGGCTGCATCCGAGTTCCGTCCCATATATAAAAATTGAATTTTAAGGTATACTAGTTCCGTCCCAGGTTTTTTTAATGAACATACTAATTCCGTCCCAGGTTTTTCTTAATGGATAATATACTATTTCTGTCTTGTAATAAGTCTTTTAGAAATACAGATGATATTTCAGTTATCGCACTAAATAATTGAATTTAACAATATCCTATTATATAGAAATAAAGATAATATTATTTTCAGTTATCTCACTAAATAATTGAATTTAACAATAATCATATCACATAGAAATGAAGATAATATGTAATAAGATTTCAGTTAACGAAACTAAATAAACTTTTCAGTCGTTATTTGTGCGTTTACGTGTCATTTAATATATCTATTAAATATGGATACTATGTACAGTGAAAAAGGTAAAATGTTAATAATTAAAAATGAATTTAAA